GTCATTCCATTAAAACGTAATGGGATCCCATGCAAATCATTTTAACGTCGAGGGTAACTTCGAATTACGTCAATTTCCTGGCCGGAGAATCGACGTAATAACCGTGACACAATTACCATTGAGACTTTTGTAGGTTATGTTGGAGAGCGCAAAACGAAAAACCGGAAAGTGATGCGTTCAGGCCGTCGAACCAACGTGATTCCATTTTAAGAACAAAGTGCAATTGAACATAACATTTCAGGGTCCTCGATTTATATTCTCATGTGTTTAGGTTAACGATCTCTCGACCAGTATAACTTATATATGTGTGTACGAATCGATATCTTTTAACGTTGGCAATAGATAAGAAGTAACGAGTCTGTATCAATATATACAGGTTGATTCAGAATTTAAAAAAATTAATGATTGATTTTACCTACAATGTATAGATATGAAAGATTATGTTAATTATTATTGGTATTAGTATTTTTATATTCATAGAAAAATTTTTGTAATCTTAATGGGAAATTCAAAAATTATTGACAAGTATTAAAAATAAAATTACTCTCCGTATGAATAATTTGAAATTTTTATATAGATTCAGTTTCAATATTCATATTAATTTCATTTTAATAAAATGTTTTTCAAGTAATTATAAAAATATCAAATCTTTTAAATAAAATCATTGATTTCTTATAATCAAGAATAATCTAGAAAAAAGTCAGCTCAATTTAATTGTTTGTATATAGATTTTCTGCGCATAGATTCTAAGTTACCTATAATTATAACGCAAATTCATCTATAATTAAATTTAGCAATATACTCTCTTGCATACATCTAACCTAATTTACTACATTCAATTAGATCAAAAATTAATCTGAAATTAAATCTAAAGAGCAATATATATTTTATTTTAAAATTTATATTCTTATCTAATTCAGTTAGACCAAAAATTAATCTGAAAATAAATCTAAAAAGCAATATATATCTTATTTTAAAATTTATATTCTAATCTAATTTATTACGTTCAATTAGACCAAAAATTAATTGAAAAATAAATCTAAAGAGCAATACACATCTTATTTTAAAATTTATAATCATTAATGTTTGTGAAAAATTATTTTATTAAATTAGAATAACACATTAAAACCATAGTAGTATTGCCCTGAGTAGTGTCTCTGAGTCGATTCACTATCGCTATCTCAATTAAGTATGTTCGCAATATGCTTGTCGACGAACAAACCTAAGTGCACAAACTGTTCACTGGTCAGTAGCTTCATGATCTTTGAAAGCAGTGTACAGAAGTCAGTATAGTGGATATTTCTCTAACTTTCTGAATGTGTCCATTTAGTTCAATATGGTGAAATTTATTTGTTTCATTAGTGTGTTTATAACCTAAGTTCGGTTATATCAGTGTCTTAAATTTACTGTACATTTTTTCTAACGTTGCTACATTCATATGTTTCACGTAGAAAGTTCGTTTGACAAAAATTTAATTTATTTTTATTTATCGGTATATTGCAAAAGTTATTAATAAAGAGAATATTAATTTTAGCTTTATTAAGAAATATTGAATTTGCTATAATTAAAATGCCAAAAAATTTGGTAAAGATTTTAATTGATTTTTACGTGTAAAGTTGATTAAAGTTGATACATTTATGGTTCACAGATTAACTTCGTTGATATTTTTTCAGCTTGCTTAATTTTTAATTCTCTATAGATTTGACATTAATTAAAATTATTTCGAATTTGTTGTATTTATTATTATTAAAAATATGCTATTGCTTTTTTTTATCAAACTTTGGTTTTAATTTGAATGGAAAAATTATATTATTTTAATTCTATTTTTTATATAATATATATTACAATATATATAAGTTGTAATGAACTTAATGATAAATATTTTGACTAATGATCTGATTCTAGCAAATAATCATACATACAGCAAGCGATCAGTAGATTTTTGTAGTAGAAAATATTAATGAATGTTTCATGATTATTCATATATATATGTCCATATATCTATTTTAAACTGAATGATTTAATAGAACAAGTATGAAAATTCTTCGTGATTCAAAGTTGCAAATATAGTTGAAAATATAAAATTTCGAAGAATGTTTACGATTATAATAAATTTAATAGTATCTAATTTATTTTTGATTTAGTTAACTTAATGATCAATAATAATGAAAAACTAATTAATAATAAAAATTATATAACTTTGAATCTATATAGATCGGTTTTAATGGTTCATACTTACGTAAATTAAAAACAATCACAATTATCGTAAATATAAATGTATTTATTTTTCTAAAATTTAGGTTAGATTTAAACCAAATTTTTATTTAATTCGGTTTCAATGCTTCATACTTACGTAGATTAAAAACAACTGTCGTAAATATAAATGTATTTATTTTTCTAAGATTTAGGTTATATTTAAACTAAATTTCCATTTAATTAATTATTCTACGTAACATTTTTGTAACTTTCTAATAATCCGATTCGAGTCACTGTCGTCGCTTTAGCTTCTTTTCCTGTCAGTGATACAGCAGTGATGAAGCAGGATTGGGATATTGCATTTCCAGTCGGTAATTGGATGACATTCGTACAGGAAAGGCAAAACCGAGAATTCCAGCATAACATTCCTTTTCAATATAGCAAAATCTAATGAGATTGACTTACGGTGCTAAGAAAAATCGTAAAAATTGAATCGCAAGGTTGATTGTAAGAATGATTCGTTATGAAATAGCATATAGTATGAAAGAATATGGATGACTAGATTTCACATAAAAATTACGTAAACCGCGTGTCACCGTTTCTTTTTTTTTTACTGCTAGTTGTCACGTTATGTAACTACAATAGTTTTTGATCAATTTTTGAACGATTCAATGGATTCATTGTTTTTCATTTCTTTTCCATTTGTCAATCGAATGGCCTTTATTCTTTATACATTTGAAATATTGTTTTGTAATCGATGTGATATATATATTTGTTTAATTATCTAAAAAGAAATTATTTTCTCTTTTGTTTATATGCGATTTAAAATTTCTTTTTTTTTTTATTATAAAAATCTATTTTTTATTCTTTAATAAATTTAGAATATATATAATTGATAAGTTAAAAAATAAATATAATCAATAATTTTTAATATTTTATTGAAAACAATTTTTTATTATTTTAAAATTATCAAACGAATTTTATTTATAATAATAATTATCCAATCGGTTTAAAAAATTTATAGAATTATTGTTTGAAATTTTATTTACAACTTAATCGTTTTGTGATATTTTAAAAAACAACCTTGAAAGTTTTATCGTGAAATAATGATTAATTTTTCTTTTTTAAATATGACTCATTTATGCGTAACTTGAATTCTTCGTTCTTCGCTTAACATTGTGTTTATTACGATACATAACTATTAATAAGCATATTATTGCTTGATATTTTTCATATATGTAAATTTTAAGATATTACTTATATATATATATTTTTTTATGTACCAGTGAATCAATTAACTATCTTAATTGCTTATAAATATGTATGTATACATCATATCTATATATTAGATTTTATATTTTTCTAACAGTATTAAAATTATATTCTTAAAATATAAGAAAATAAATATAAAATATAGCTTTAGTATTCTCAACAAGCTTTCAATGAATTTTTATCTTCCTGAAAATTATTTGAATTCTTAAGCATGATATAAGTGTCGCGTTGAATATCTAATTCTATTTATTACTTCAATAATTAATGAAATGAAAGAATAAAATGATGAAATCTTAAATGATGAGTTCCAATTTGTACTTCTCTTTATATTATATCATTATGCACAATTTAACAACATAATATATAATACATTGTATATAATATATTTAAAACAAGGTTAAAAAGATTATTAGATTAATTAGATTCTATATTAGATAATTCATTTAGAAATAATTCATAAATAACCTAATGAAAGAATTATATTAAATATAATAAGGTAACAATACAAAAAAACAATTATGCATTAGACATTTGATTTGATTGATTGATACTGTATTATATAAAAAATAATTTTAATTTAAAATTTTTTTATATAGTTGCATATTTATTTTCACAAGATAAAGAAATTATTATGTCAGAGAAAAATTCTTAGATGAAATTCTTAAAGAATAGATGCAATTCGAGTGGTTCGAATTTAATTAGAATTTTTCTCGATTTATCTGGTACAGATCCATTTTAACTCATCGCTATAACTGAACAACACTTTATTCTGTTGACATGGATGCTCCAGTTATTTCCAGTTTCCAGTGATTGTTTTTTTATACATCTCATCATTTTTTATCCTTTTTTTTTCTTCCTGCTGTTCTCTTTTATCGAGTATACTTGCATTTGTGAGAGTTTTACTTCTTTCATTCTTTTCTCTTTTTCTTCCTTTTTTTTCTCGTATCTATTTCGTTTGTATTTATTTCTAAAACATATATTGTTTCCAAAAAATTATTATTTGCTCTTTGAAGATGAATGAAACGATAAAAATGAAAGAAAGTGTTTTACATTTTATTCGTGATATTAAAACGTAATATTCAGTACATGTTTATTGATTTGTGTACATTTTACGTACGACGCAATTTTCTTATTTTATATTTTTTATCTTATATTTTTTCTATTACTCTCGTATATTTCTATAAATTTCATTTTAACAATGAATTTTCATTAAAATATTTATTATAATATTTGAAGAGATAGCGCTGTTCAGTGCTGAATTTCGTCACCATAACCTATCATAATGTAATCGAAAACGCGGTTAACAGGTAGACTATCAATTATTTTATCAAAATTAAAGTATTTTTAAAAATGACAAGCATCAATTTATTGTTATATAGATTAAGAATAATATTAAATAATTTGCTGTAATAATAAAACTTGAAAGTGATTTGAAAAATATTAATTGTAACAACATTGTGACATCGTATAAAAAAAGATGCTTCGTCGCAACCAGAAAGCATTACTCTACTGTCAACTGTTTGGACTTTCAGAGGAGGACGAATCACAGATTTTCGTGAAGTTCTTTAAATTTCACAAATGTTATGACCTAATACCGACCAGTGCCAAATTGGTCGTTTTCGATACGCATCTCCTCGTTAAAAAGGCCTTCTTTGCTCTCGTTTATAATGGTAAGTTAAAATTTAATTTAATTGTAATATATTTTAATGCTATTGTTTTATTTCATTGACTATCAATTTCAATTACTATTAATTTCAATAATATAAAAAAAATTTGTTTAATTTTATTTTCAGGTGTGAGAGCTGCACCATTATGGGACAGTGCAAGACAAGAATTTATTGGAATGCTAACAATAACAGATTTTATAAAAATCTTGCAGATGTACTATACTAGTCCATCTGTAACAATGGATGAATTAGAAGAACATGAATTAGATACATGGAGAAGTAAATATTTTTCTTTGATAAAATCTTAGAAATTTTAAATATAATAATATTTAATATATTTAATAAGTATCAAAATAATATAATTGGTCAATTTTAATATTTTAGAAGTGTTAAAAGATCAAGTTCATCCATTAGTGAGCATTGGTCCAGATGCATCTTTGTATGAAGCTATTAAAACTCTAATTCAAAATAGAATTCATCGTTTGCCTGTGATAGATCCAGATACTGGAAATGTTCTCTATATCTTGACACACAAACGAATTCTTAGGTTCCTCTTCCTTTATGTAAGTATGAGATAATAATAAGAAAAATGCAATATATAATACACTAATATATTAATATATTATATTATTATAATAGATACATGAGTTACCAAAACCATCTTTCACAAATAAAACATTGAGAGAATTGAGGATAGGTACATTTGAAAATATAGAAACAGCAACAGAAGAAACTAGCATAATTTTAGCATTAAAGAAATTTGTTGAAAGGAGAGTTTCTGCATTACCAATTATTGATACTGAAGGAAAATTGGTTAATATATATTCAAAATTTGATGTTATTGTAAGTGAATTTTATAAATCTTAATTACATTTTGATTCTTGATGAAATCAATTTTTATTCAATCAAATCAATATTTTAAATTTATATTTTTATAGAACTTAGCTGCAGAAAAAACATATAACAATTTAGATGTATCATTGAGAGAAGCAAATGAGCACCGCAATGAATGGTTTGAAGGAGTTCAAAGTTGTAAATTAGATGAAACCTTATTTACTATTATGGAGAGAATTGTTAGAGCAGAGGTATAGTTTTTATTTTTTATATTATAGTTATTATTTATATATATTATTTTTTTATAAATATATAAATATAATATATATAAACTTTTTATTAGTTATTTTTTTTATAATAATATATTTTTTATTGATTATTTTTCATAATAATTTGATATAATTATATGTAAATATATATTGGCTATTATATACAATTATAATTTTATACATACAACGAATAAATAAATATATAAAAATATTGCAGGTTCATAGGTTAGTAGTGGTTGATGATGATGATAAAGTAATCGGTATAATTTCTCTATCTGACTTACTCTTCTACCTCGTTCTTAGGCCTTGTGGTAAGAATATATTTTAACTTATATACATATAATATATATACATATAAATATATACATATTTTTAAAATAAAAGTACATAAGAAACAATAAATAAATATTATATTTAGGTGAAGATGGCAGTAGCAATAAAGATAGTTCTATATCGTTAAGAGCACAGGATTCTATGTCAAAAGCTCCAAGTTCTGTGCAATCAGAAGCTTCAATTCCTGATGGTGAAACAGAAGCTGAACAAGATACAGCTGAAGTGAACCAATCTGAAGAAGCACCTGCAACACCTAGTCCACCGCTGAGTCCTGTAGCATCAGATATTTCTGAACCTCAGTCAACTTTAGTAAATCAATCTCAAGAATCAGCATGGAGAGAAGTAACCGTATCGGGAGGAGATTGAGGCAATGTAATCTTAATATGCTATCAAGCATGATATAATGTGAATCGACTTACTTTAAAATTGAACTTTATAGAGTAATAAGCAATGTTCAACTAAGTTTATTTTTCGTTTGTTCTTGATGCTTGTGTGTTCAAAGCTTAAGAACTTACGTAAAATGCGAAATGTTGTTTTTTGCTCGTTAAATTAATTTACGTCACAAAATTAATTGTTATTTGAAATAATGAAATCGCATTGAGTGTGAGAATAACGAAATGAATTTTACTGGACGCGACAAACGACAATGCGATGCTCTATATATATATATAATAATTGATAAGCTTAATTTTTTATGGTACAAATGCTACTCAGCATAGACGTTCGAGCTTTTTGCCAGGAACGATTGCTACGCCATTATTTACTCAGGGTATAATATTCTATACACCCTTTCTTCAATCGTATACTGGGAATGTTTCAATAGAACTTTTAAAATAGTGGTTTCTTGCATCCTTTAGATTTATAATATTGCTATGCTCCTTCTTATACTGAAATCTTTGTATTTTATTTCAGATCAAAAATTATGAGATAATTTACTTTATTTACATCAAATAGTGTAGAAAAATGTCCAGACGATATGATAAAGTAGCCCTATATCAAAGAGTGCTCCATAATTCATAAATATGGACCTCGTTTTTACAGAGGCCTTCCACGCTTTTCCTGACAGGAACGAAATACTATAGTGTTAAGCAAATATCTAAATATGTATATCCTGTATGCTTATCTATAAAAAAAGTAGCTTCTTGTCCGTGAATTATCACGTTAGATGTCTGAATACTAGAAACTGATGTGCATAATAAACGATTTTGTTTTAAACAATTGCACAGCATGTGATATTTTACAAAAAAATAAAAAAAAGGAAAAAACATGGTGCTTTTGATTTTGCATTAACAGCTGACTCTGATATAGCAAACAAATGGAAGTAGTATGCATACAATGAATAACAATAAAATATATATCATAGAAAAAAATATTCGAAATTAATTGTATTATTATGTAACTTCTATATCAGCTTCATGAAATATTTCAGTACAGGAAAGCAATACTTATATAAAATCAAATTATTATCTATTGTTGAATTTATAGATTATTATTTCATGTATCTTTTTTAAAAAGTAATATTTACAAGACAAAAATACATTAAGTATTAAAGGGCCTATAAAAATGAATGATAACAATTCTACACTTAATATGCGCTGCCATTGTTATACTAATTGTTTTAATTAATGTTTTACGTATATAACAATATTTGCAGCACATTCTTCAAGTTTCGTACTTTCAAAATGTATAATTAATAATTACGAATACGTCAAGTTAATTTTAGATTTGTGTGTACATAAAATTTTATTTAGTAATATTTCTTTTAAATATTCCTATGTTTGTATTTGTTTTACAAGAAATTTTTATAAATAAATTATTCATAAATTTTCATTTGAGAAAGAAAATGGAAATATAAGCAAATGTTAAAATTTTTATATAATTTTTGACTAAATTCTCTATGTTATTATTGACGAAAATATAATTGATATCATGAAGAATATAGTGGATGAAAAATTTTGTAATTACATTTTATATTATTGCTAATTTTCATAATTTTCATTTGTAGTCAAATTATAATTAATTAAAAGAAATTATTTTAAAAACTGAAAAAATCGATCCTTATAAATATTTATAAAAATAATAATATCACATATAAATTATAAACAAGCATCAATGTTGAATTATATTTAAAAATTATGTAAAATATGATTTTCACTGATTTTCAACATTGTATATGATTAAATAAGAAATTATAAAATGAATGGCAGAAAGCATTCCTGTACAAACGATTTATTAAGCTGAAAACTGTTTCATTTTGAAACAGATTTCATTCTACGCTTATTACACGAAAAAAGAGATGGAATTATAAATTATACAGATCTTGGAATGTTACATCTATGCGAAAATTTGTATATATAAATGGTCTCTGTGTCAGGGATATATTTGCCTTTTTGACACAAAGTTCCATTTTGTTTATAGAAATATGGATGAATATCACCTATTTGAATTTTGAAGGGGACAGTGCCTGTAATTTAGTAAAATTATTCCTAGATTACATTTATGGGGATAAGAATAAATATTCCATTTCAAAGAACGGAGTCAGGATAAAGAAAATTTACGTTAGTATTAATTAACAAGAGGCGTAGTGGACAATGATTTTTGTACAGCTGAAAGGATTATAGCCGAATAAGGTTTAGTGTGCTGTAGCTGCGAATATATTGTTTCCTTTTAGTACAAAATACGTTTCAACTTTACAAGTTGTCACGTTCATTTTTTCTAGTTTTTAGACGTAAAAAGATCTACAGTAGCCTATATTGCAGCGCAACCGATTTCAATATTATTATTGCAAACAAAGGCACAAGTTAATATAATGTTAACAGAAAATAAACGTTATTAGTGATTAAAAACCATTGAAGTCGGTGTACGCTGCATTCGTGAACCAAAACAATATATAGACAAGGTATTAAGAATAAATTGTACAATAAAGAATTAATCGAGTAATTAGGCAGTACACTTAGTCGCGTCTCAGTACTGTATATCCAGGGCAAAAGCTATTAGCGCATTATTCATGTCCCTTGTACATGTAAGGTACAAATGAAAAAAAAGAAACGAATTGCTGAGTGACAAAATACATCGTAAATGAAACATTTTACTTCAGTGTTTGTAATGATTTTTATGCCTTCCTTTTCTACTTCTTCCTTCTTTTAAATATCGTGAAATTTATTTTAAATTTCTTATTTAATATAAATAACATTTTTTATCATTTATAAAAACAGATATACATATAAAAATATACGAAAGTTTTCTTTGTTTGTATAGGAAATCTAACCTTTGTTGTATAGGAGATCTAAATGATCATTTACATGAAATATTGATAATTATCAATATTTTTTTTTACTTATAATTATGTTGATTTTAATGTTTTTATCTTTTTTATCTTGGAAAATTTTTCTGCCTTTTCTTTTCTCTTTAGTTCGGATTTATGAGAGATCTATATATTGAAAAATAAAAAAAAAATTTATTTTCGTTAATTCATGTCTTTAATAAATAAAAAAAAAGATAAACAAATACACATACTTACAATTGTATTATCTGATAAACCTTTTTTATTAATCTTTTTTCGTTTTTTTTCAATTAATTTTTTATCTTCTGTGTTACTAATTACTTGCATTTTTTCAAATAACATATCATATTCTGAATCTGAATACTCTAAATTGGTTTGTATATTTTCTTGTTTTTTTACTTCAAAATTCTCAATAATATTTTTATTATACTTTTGTGTACTTTTTTGTTCATTAATTTCGTTATCCTTTGAAAATGAGAAATCTGAACGTAATACCATACATGATATTTTTGATGTTAAATATATCTGCAATAAAGAATAAAATTATATATTGAATTACATTTTAATACATTATTTTTTTAATATTAAAATAAATTGTACCTTTTTTAATAATTGTTTTGTATTAATATGGTGTATTCGTAAATATCTATCTAAACTAACACTAATAATATAAGGTTCAACTGTACTACAAGCTATTCCAGTTACACCTCCAACAAATCCTTTATATGTATTTAATACTTTAGCTGGTTTTCTTAGATCCACAAGATTCATTTTACCTTTACCAGTACCTACTATAATTTGTCTGCAATTAAATGAAAACATTTTATATTCACATTAAAAGAAAGATTATTATATTTTTTACATGCATTTCATATATACTTCTGTTGTGGTACTACACTTAAAGTCGTTAATATTTCATCTTTCATTTCTATATTTATAATTGGTCTTCTTTGCACTTTTGGATCATATAAACGTACCTTAAAAAATTTTTTTTATATAAAATATATATACTTAACTAATTGCATAATGGAATTGTATATTAATCAGGATCTTACATGTCCATATCTACCAACAGTAACAATTTGTTCTGTATGAGGAAGAAAATCTATGTCAGAAATCCAAACAGGAACTCTTAATTGTAACCAATCATGAGTTACATTTTTTTCTAGAAATATTCGAGTTTTTCTTTCTATATCAAATAATTTTAATTCATGTTCTTGACCTCCAGTTGCTATTATATGTTTATTTATTTTTGAATGACGCATTTTATCTAAATTTTCACCAGCTTTTATTATAAATCCATCTTCTTCTTTAAATCTCCATAATTTTACTTCTCCTGATTTAACAGCAGTTAGAATTGCTCTGTGGATAAAATATTATATTAAAATTAAGTGATATATTTCATTAAGTGATCTATTTCAAAATTAAGTGATCTATTTCAGAAACATTTATTTGAAATATTACTCACTCATCATATCGAGATATGCCAGTTATTTTTCCTGTTCCAATATTGCAAAAAAAAGAACATGTAAATGTTGAACATCCTGAGTCATAAACTTTTACACTACAAAAAAAAAATTATAATGTTTCTAGTTATATATAGTTAATAAATTACTTATTATATATAACCTTCTAATATCTTTTACTCCACAGCCAATTAAAATTTCTCTTTCATCATCATCGCCCCAAGACATTGATGTAACTTCATCATTATCCGTTATAGAAATCAAATTTTGTATGTTTTCTATTAAATATTCTTCTTTTTCTATTTTTACACCTATCAACAAAATGGATAAATGATTATTATTAAATTATCAAAAATATAACAGAAAAAATATTTTATGGTTAATTGTTATATAGTACTTTATTAAACTAACCTAAGTAAAAAATAATATTAATATAACATTAATAATAATATTTTACCTTTGAAAATTCCAGATTTACCACCAACATAAACGTTAAAATTATCTTTTACACTCATTTTGTAAAAAATAAATTACAAATAATAAGAATTTATATTTATATCTACATTGAAAGTTGATCACGTGAGAAAACTATTATAGACTATAGATTAAGTGCAAAATAGACCAATCAAGTAATACATATTTAAAATGGAATTTCTATTACAATCAGAATGTTCAATATTTTTATGATTTGAAAGATTTAAATGTAAAAATTATATTGAATTCATTCATAAAAGTTGATAAAGTGAATAGATTTTAAAAATATATATATATATCTTTTCATAATATTCCTATATGCTTCATATAATTGTATTCATAAATTTTTTAGCTACTGTACATGATAGTAGATGTATAATATTATGTATAAGTTGAATTAATTATGAATTAAAAATTAAGCTAAAGTTAAAAAAATATTAATATTTATATAGACAACAAAAGATAATTTCATGAAAATTTTATTATAAAAATCATATGAGAATTACAAGCTTTCTTTATTTTTATTATTTTTTTTTTTAATAAATTTTTAATTATTAATCAAATATATAATATAAGAATTATTATATTTTACGGAGCAATATAAACAAAGAAATAAATAATAAGAGAATAATAATGGAAAAAGAATAGAATAAAAATTAAGAAATTTTTAGAGCGTGAATAAAATTCACAAAAAAAATAGAAAAAGATAGAAATAGAATAAGAATTAATATCTCTTGAATATTTTTAAAAAAATTAGCATTATTTAAAATTGTTTTTGTAGTATTCAAAAGATGGCGTTAATAATCAATTCTTACCTTATCTTTATTTTTTTCATTGCTATTTACTTTCCTTGTCTATATATGTTTCATTTGCAAGACTCTAGAGATGGCGTTGACTTCCTAATTTTTACCTTATTTTTATCCTTTTATTATTTTCTCTTCTTGTTTATAACTTGTTTTACAAAATTTATGCACTCAAGAGATGACTCCGATATCTGATTAACACAAAAGTATATTATAAATATCATGAAAAACATTAAATTTAAAAATTTGAAAATATATACATATTTAAATTTTTTATGCATATTTACGAAAAAATTAATAATATCAAAATATAATAAAATCTTTGAAATATTTAGTACTGTAAAAAAAAGCATCTTATATTGTAAAAGATAAATATATAAAAAGTAAATATTTTTGAAATTAAAAAAACTGTTGAAAAAATGATTTAAAATCCAAAAAAATGATAGCTATAATAGATAAAATATTTAACAAATAAATATTTCATGGATAAACATATAAAATTTCATGAAAATTTTTGTTTTTGGAAATATTAAAATAACTTCGCATGAAATTATATATTTTAATATAAAATTTTTATTGACCAAATTTTATATTCTGTGCAATTGCTATAATTTAGTTATTTAGAAATAGATTTAAATATATATAATAGAAACATTATTAATAACATAATTCAAATATTTTTAATTGAATTTTAAGAATAATTTTATTAATTAATGTATGATAATTATAATAAAATTTATGCTAATAATAATAATACAGAAAAGAGTAATAATATTAACAACAGTAATGATATTAACATAGTTTAAATATAAAATATAAAATTTACAGATATTATTTATATAACATAAATATTATTTTGATCATAAAATATTTTCGTTTTTATTTCTTATATTTTTTTATATTGCTTTTATTTTATTGTTTATATAGTTTATTTTATATTCAATCATCTATCTTATAACTAATATAAAAAGCATTATTAAAACGAATATACTACTAATGTTAGAAGCAATTTGAAATGCACTATTTCTTTTCATAGTTGAATTTATCCAATCTAAATATAAATCTAATCGACAATATACACCAGGTGAATTAGGACGAGCACAACTTTTACCCCATGATATTATACCAATTTGCAGTCCTTTGCATAATAATGGACCACCACTATCACCCTATAATATTTTTTAATCATAAGTATAACATTTAAATACAAAATAAAATTAATCATAAATTACAATACAAACTTGACATGCATCTTTTCCACCTTTTAGCACACCTGCACATAAGTGATACTTAGAATGTACTCCTTCAACGGGACACTTTTCATGTGGTATTAACGGAATATGGACATGACGAAGATAAGTACCCGTTCCTTTCTAAACAAAATTTATTCTCATAATTGAAATGATCAAAAAAAAACAATTTTTATAAATTATACATACATACATACATCTTTTTTATATTGCTTATATCTCATTAATTCTTTAATATTACAACAAGAAAATAATATTACGAGAATTATTACGATAAATAATATAACAAATAAACAAAGATTATATGAAAAGAGATGTAATATAAAAGAGATATAATATAAAAAATACAAAATAATATAGAAATAATAAAATAATAAAATATTATTACATTTCCAGTATTCAAAAAAAGTTATTAATTCGCTCCAATTCTAAAAATTCTCTGTACATATATACATATATTATCCATATACGGTTTACTCTGTATTCTTTCACGTAATCTATATCACATTGAAAGCATCACGCCATTCATTTTCTACGCCCTATACAATCGCAAACTCGAACAGATTGCCTCTATTCTCGTCAATGGAACAATTTTTGCGAATGACAGTAAATAACTAGATGCGGTTAACTACGTACATTGGATCCAGGAATGTGTCGTCCCCAGCCAACCGCAGTACAGGGATCGGGATACGTTTGGAAAATGTTTGCGTCATAGGCAGCAGGTAGAGTAACGAATTTCACGTACGAGTTAATGTAAAAGGGTTGCGAGAGCTAAATGCAAAAATAAACAGAACAATATAATTGAGAAAATCGATGGGACTATGTTTCGTTTATTTCAAGCTTTTTGCTGGATTTTTTTTTTCTCGTTGTGTTATACTTTTTACTCATTCCTCGTTTAATTTTCTAATTGAAGCTACATATAAATATAAGAAATAAGAAAGAAACTTGAAGATAAAATTAAAAATCGATTAATTTTAATTTTGTTAATTCCTACTTCTATTTTCGTGAAAAAATATTTATATCGAAATGCAAAAACAAATGTGAAAATGAAAGATATACAAAAATTTATAAAAAGATCTTTTTATTTCTTAATATATTTGTTAATAAATCATTATCATGAGTTGTGAAAATTTTGTTTTAAGATTTACATAAGATTGTTATGTATATGTTATTTATTAAAAAGTGATTAATTTAATCTAACATAACCTAACATATCTATCGATTGAATAATATTTATCTAATCTTCCTTTTTTATTCTTAATTCAATTTTCAAATAAAATTTGCGTATAAAACAAGTGATATAAAAAAAATTTTTAAAATCAAAAAGAAATAGAATAAAATAAATAAATAAACTATTTTCAATTGATTCAAATTTTATCTTCAAAAGATTCAGATTTCTTTCTTTTTTCGTGACATTTTTTATTGAAGTTTCAATATTTCAAAATTCGATTCGAGAAAAAGCATTGCACGAATATACACGCAAAAAGAAAATAAAATAGAAAGAAAAAAAATTAAATAGTGTTCAGGATTTTTCGTATTAATTTCAATTATGTCCCTTCCCTTTTCTCTCTTTTTTTATCTCTTTTATTTATTTTATTTTCCACATAGAGTTTATATATACACATAATAGTCACCCTGAACAATCCAATATCGTGATGCATGTTCGAGAAATTAAAACTCCTGTGCGGTAATGTCTTGTCTACCAATTCCATCTGTATAGTACTCCAGCTTGGAAAGTACACGTAAGTGGCTCCAGCAATTACGTAGAATAGGCGTGGATTTTCGGGAACCCATCTACCTCTGGGTAACGGTCTATATGAACGATTTACATGGATCATTTTCCCGATTATAATTCACAATTTTTATGTAATTAGTCTCTTTTAAAGTTTTTCTTTTTTAACATATTTTTTTTTCTTCATAACGCACACACAAGAATTTATGGGCACAAGAATAAAACGATTCAATTTAATAGGTTTATCACGGGCGGCCACTGATTCCTTGTTTCCAAAGTGGAGATAAAGCTGAGTTCACGCGGGAAATTAATAAAAACACGTCTCGAATAATCGATGAAAAAAACGAATGAATCGATTACAAAGACAGTGATGATAGATGATGATTAATGCATTTACATTGTCACTTTTTATTTCACTTTCTTTCCCTTTTTTTCCTGCTTTTCGTAGCTTTGTTTGTCTTTTTGTTGATTCTCGGTTTGAATTATGTTAAACTTTAATAAGATCTAACATCGCTAACTCTTTCACTGCTATGATCGCTAATATGGTTGGTATAGATTATTACGTATGCTTATGAATGAGTCTGAACATGTTGAAGAAATAAATTTTGAATCTCATTAGACTGTTAACTAGATAGAAATTAAATTATCCGTTTAAATTATATTTATGTGAGAAGAACAAAAAGTACTATTTGCATTTTTTTTATATAAATTATTAAATTAATATTCTAAATTATTTTTTTGAATTAGACACTTTGAATGATCAAACTCATATGATTATATATCGCGATACGATCTCGAAAAAGAAAAGAAGAAAGAAAAGAGGGCGCAATAAGAGAAACAAAAATTAGCGCCATCTATTAATCTAAATATGTAGTAATTGTTAGTAATTCATCCAGCAATATGACTTCGGTATAAAAATATAATAAATTGCAATTAAATTAATGTTATGCATTATGATTAAATTAATATAATTTTATATTAATTAAGATTATATTATCAATAGAAAAGAAATATTCCTTAATCGAAATGTTAACATGAAATCTAGTCAACAGTTTAATCAATAACTTGTTAATTATTTAGTGATGTTTATTCGAATCGTTTTGTCAAATTCGAACTACGATATCTTCTTATTAAAGTTTCGACTGAAATACAGATATTCTATTCTAGATTGCACATTTAGCAATCTAAAGATTAACGATTGCCTTGATTCGATTTGGAATAGCATTTAATAGCAAAATTTATCTCATTATAGCTTGTTCAAAATTAATTGCTTGAAGAGGTTATTTGTCTTACCATAAATAACATCATTTACGCATTATACGTATTGTTCGTCTTTCACAATTAGTATTCCATTCCTTCTCAAATATAATTTGAGAAATTTAATTAACTTTATTATCATTTGTTATTTTTCATATAAAGATAGAATAATTTATTGCAAATAAAATAAAAAAAGATTTATAATATATTTATATATATATTTATAAATAAAAAATAAACTAAAGTAAAATAAAAAAGTAAAATTAAAAAAAATAAAAATAAAATATTAAAAAAGATAAAAGAATTATTTAAAAAAAATTTCAACGAAAATATGATAAAAAACTATCAATAAAACTATCATAAAAATAAATCTCTAGAATTTTTTTCTTGAAATCTATTCTTTTATTTGATGGAAATATGGCGAGATCAATCATAAATAACCTCGAGTCGGTTAATTTTGGACAAGTTATGATATCGCCAATGTGTCATTATCTGTCACATTCGAAGACTTTAAAAGCATACGTATCTACGATAGCAATGAAAGCGCTACGAGCGAAGATGCCCTGTGACCGTAAAATGGTAGCATAAAAATACACAAGAAATAGTGAATTCTATTCTTTTTTTTTTTTTTTTTTTTTATTTGTTTAATTTCTCCCTCTCCTCTCATTTTAAACGATGTTTTATCTATCTAAAATTTTAATAAAAAAATAACTATAGATGTCATTTATCGCGCGTTTCATCGAACTAACTAATCCCTATAAAATCGTTAGCAGGACGAGTACTGAAAGGAAATCGATTCTGTGTGTTCTCGTTTCTATGGCTTTGAGACTAACTTTACTGTATATGAGATGCAAGCATCGCGTGATTAAAAAATGTTAAAGAAAATGAGCGTTCTTCCCTTTCTAATCTAGAACGTTTAAAAACAGAATTCTTATTTAATATGAAGACTTATTATATGGAAGTTTTAACATTTTAAAGAGGAAGTTAGAATTATATACTTAATAATTAATTACTTGCTACCTAAGATTGGAACTGTTTTATGTTGTTTATATTGGATTGTAACATACGCAATATTTATTTATCTTATTTTTATTATTTATATTTTGTAAAGTCTATCCGTTTGTTTTTCTATAAATCCTATATAAATAGGCAATTATCGTAAATCGATAGTTAATTTTATTATGCATCTAGTATCAATGATTGAACATATATTATATTTCATATTTATATTGTATACATATTGTATACATATTTATATATGTATTTCATATTTCATATTTAAACATGATGCCTTCAAAATATTTTCAAAGATCATGAATCTTCTTTATTCCATCCGAACCATCGTTGATATTTTCTAATAATAAGCTCTAAAAAATAATGCATCGAAATCTATACAAAAAATCTGAACAATACATATGTATATGTTATTAGAATTCTAATTCGATCCCTAGAAATTTCCTTGATTTAGTTAATCAGATATTTTTTATTAACGATTAATATACTTTTATCTTAATATTATAAGAAAACCATTTCATATGTTACAATTCAATATCCAAACTCTTGAACACATCTCTTTTCCAGCACAATAAGAACAATTATAAAAAATTTTTATCATTGACTATCCACAATTCCTTTAATACTTTTCCTATAATTGATCAAATGACATAAAATTAGTCCAATTATTTCCAAAAACTTATGTAGAATATTTTTTAGAATAATTAAAGGAGCGTTCAGACAATTAACGTATATCAATGTTTCAAATTTCTCAACATTACATAAAAATCAATATATATATATATATATATATTGTTATATATAATATTACTGAACATTTGTTCAAAAATGTTAAAAAATCTTGAAATATTAATAAAACGTGATCGCCTGAATATTCCATAACCACAATACGTATTTATCGCATTTACCCAAGCACCAATGAGAATTCCTCAAATTACCGTTAACAAACTATCGAACATTTCACTAGTATTTTTTCGCTAATCGGTTGGTCACGAGATCCAGTATACATTGACGATACTCTGCTACCATTTTAGGGTTAAGAGCCATAGACTGTATAAATGTCGCAGTCTTAGAACGCACCTGACCATGCAATGAGCGGCTGACAAAATGAATCTTGGTGCTACGTAAGTACCTCCGCAGATATGACTCAAGTGTCGCCGTTGTACCGAGACCTACGAGAAATTGACATTGAAAATTCGGTTTCGTCATCAGCGAATCCCTACATCTTACAACTTCGATACAACTAAGATCTTTACGTGGAACACTTTAATCGTTTCCAATTAAATTTATTATGGTAATGTATACAAATATTTTCAGAATTAATCAAATAACTTGTGTGTAGATGTGACAGTAGTTGATTAAATTTAGATGAGTTATATCCATTAACTTTTAATACATGTAAATAACTAATTTTCATTCAATTTTACGATTAAAGATGCAAAATATTTTGTAAACAAATGTAATGAAATCTGTTGACAAATAACTAATATCCAATAATATAAATAATAATGTTTATTACATTTTAGATGTTTATTATTTTTAACCTTGTTAAAAAATTCTTTAAAAGATTATTATCAGTAAATTATTCTTGAAGTTAAATAAGTCAAATTTTAATCTTTAAAATATAATAATTTATTTTTAGACAAATACTTTATTCTAGATAAATATATCTAGATTTATTTTTTTATCAAATAGATATCTAATATCAATACTTGCTCTTAAATTATTTAATTTTTATTATTTTTATCCTGTATATTTGATGATGTATTATCGTGCCTCTTTTATTTTGATCAATTCCGTTTATAGGAAACACTTTACATATTTTCCGCTATTCTCTACAAATTCTAGTAATGTAATTTATGAGGAATTATATTTCTTATCATTATTGAGGCGTATTATGTAAGGTTAATTAATAAATTGATTAATTGGTAAATTGACATTATCTTGACACTATGTATCGCTAACTTCACTTCTTTTATTTTTGTTTCTTGGAAACGATTAGAGTGATTCGCGTATCCGTAGCTTTAGATAATATTTAGGAAACGTCACGGGCGCATTTTACATACGATGAATGGATAATTTTTTATGTCAGTGATTTCTCCGCCGACTATCCTCACGGCTACTTTTTTCACCGAATGGATCAACGTTTCATTGTCGCTCGATGGAACCTCGTTTGTAATAACAATAAGCGCTTGAAAATAACACATCAAAGTGAACAATAACAACATCTTGATCATTTGTCTACAATACCGTCGGTGCTACCAGTGCAAATTCGCTGCTTTTTTTTTTTCGTGACACAGCCGTCTTTTGTCTTCTATTTTGCGGTATCCAGAACGGTATCCATAGGGTGATACGATTTTAATTATTTCAAGAATTAAATTATAGAAATTTTTGTTTCCATTATATGTATGCTGATTTACAAGTTCTGAAATTAAGTAATTTTGATCTATTTTAAATTCTTTGTTGATATTTTTTGATAAGTAAATATATTTATCTTTTATAGCAAATATTTCTTTGATATCATTAAATTTTACAAGTTATATTGATTTGGTCGAAAATTAATTACGCTTTTTTTGCGGTATAATATTTAAAGTTGTTAGAGCTTAAAATGAAATTTTAAATAAAATTAATCAACCAAAATAAAAATCATTTACTATTTATACTATTTTTCTAACGAAATATAAATATTTTATTATTTTAAAAATCTAATTACAGATACTTGAACATATGAAACAAAGATATAATTATTATATATAAAAATAAATAAATATAGTATTAAATTATATCAGAATTTAATATTCTTTAGATTGAATTGCAAGAAGAAAATTAATTAATTCTAAAGATACATTATGATAGATCAATAATTTCAACATTCTACTTAAAAAAAAAAAAAAACTATCCAAATCTCTATACATAAAAAAAGAAAAAGTTTGAATATAAATTATTATTATCATTACCTTCGAAACCATTTAAATCAGATTCTAGGTACATTGTCATCGAATCAAATTATCTTTATTTAAAGTTAAATTTTCTTTTCAATCGATTCACTCTGTGCATGACTAGGTGAATCGCGTTTGTCAGCGTCTCCATTACATCGGCATTGTGCCGCATCTATTATCATGCATCTCTCGAAACAATTAAGTAGCCGTGAGGCTCGAAAAGATTAACTCTTTACATTAATTTATAACGCTACGATATGTTGCACGATATGATGAAAGTATCACCTGCTAAAGAACACTCTTACCATTATGGATATAATGCTCTTTCTTTCTCATTTATTTGCACTAGTCGCTCTCTCTCTCTCTCTCTCTCTCTCTCTCTCTCTCTCTCTCTCTCTCTTTCTCTCTATTATATGTATATGTATGTATATATCACTTTCACTCCTCTTCTCGTTCTTTCCTTGCACAAAATGCGTTAAACTGAAAAATAAAAAGAAGAGAAGACAAAAAGGAGAACGGAAGCGTTTTAGAATCGTGCACACGTGGGATGTCCCGGAAAACCGTCGTATACACAATTTTATTGATCGACAATGCAGACTCGACGGTGCGTAGGCAAGGAAATTCTATAATAACACCTTGTTGTTTTTCTACATGATATATAGACACTTATAGGCGTGTAATAAAATGCACGCTCGCGATGACAAAATAGCCAGACTTATCCCCTTTGAAGGGGATAACTTTTTCATTCTTTCTTTCGCTTTTTTTTTTTTTTTCCCTTTTTCGATTAAAAATAGAACTTTTATCATACATGCTCTTAAGGGACAGACCCTACGTGTGCGTACATTTTACCTAATCGGTTATAGACGATTGATTACAACGTGCAATAAAACTGCGTAGAAATAAAAGCGAAACTAAGAGTTTTAAATAGATGTATTGAAAAATTTATATAGGTATATTTCTGATACGATATAATCGAGAAAATTATCGATAATATCGATAATATTATTTTATTTCAAGAAGATTGGAATTTTTTTTATTTCGTATTTATCACAAAGATAAATGAAAAATTTATTTTTCGATAAAAATTATACATTGTAAATATATAAAAATGATAAAAAAATCATATAAAAATAGGTATATATGCAGGTTTATAATAATTGTACATGCATACTATCTATAAAGACATAAGGAACACAGTTTTGGTATTATATTTTTTCAGCATAATATAAATTAAATTTGTACTTATCCTGTACAATTTTATTATATTAATTGCAAAACATGTATTATTAGTCATTTTGATTGGTTTGATATATAAGATAATATACAATTTTATTGCACGATATAACTGAATATATATTTAACACATATTTAATTGATTTTACATTGACTTCTAATTCCGTGAAAATGAAACATTAGCATTAAAAAATTTTTTAAAAGATAAAATTATCTTTATATTAATATAATAATAATATATAAACACTATTATATAAAGATATTTTTTTGCTTATTATGAAAGGAAATGAGGAATCACATGAGGAAACAAGTGATTCAAATAAAAAATAATGATAGCAAAATAAACGAATAACATTATGATGAATTATATATATATATCATTATGCCGATAACAAGGTACAACAGTCTTAATTTCTGATTTGTCAATAGGATTTTCCAGTTTTGGACTATAATTTTTGCGTTTGTAGCACACAATACGCATATATGTATATATAATATATATATGTATATATAATTTTTTTATATATAAATATCTATTTAAGATATTTAAAAACAAAACGTTCACATGCGCACGTGTATAAAGCTCGTATATACCATATCTATTTAACCTATCATAATATCTTTTTAGACGATAATATGTATATGAAATATATTCTTCGTTCTTACTTTCATAAATTAGCATTATGATCAATAATTAGATTATATTAGAACTAGAAATGTAAAAACATCAAATAATCGATTATAATATTTAATGCGTGATTATGCGTGTTGATAAAAAAGGAATTAGAAAGTAGTAACTGAAGTATCAAATATAACCTTAGTGCATAAAGATATACAATTCTCATTTCTTCCTATTAAATTCTCTTTCATTTTTCGAAATAAAATTATCCATTTAAACTTCATATATTTATTAGATATGTAAATCAATTCGACATCTTTTATATTTATTTCTTTTCTATTTTGAATTCAAATATTTTTGAATAATAATAAAAATTATTTTGTAATGAATAATTCAATATTATTACACGATTCATAACAGTGAATTCATTTACACATCTAATAAACAAAAGATAAGATTAATATTCATTTGAAACAATACCTATACTTTTACACTTCTTAATTTCGAGCAAGAAATTCGATTTACGAATTGACATTCATTACACGGTCTCCGATTATTATAATACACTTATCGAATGAACGTGTGTCCATTGAAATGCTCGAGATCTCTTCGAAATTACCTAGAGGTCTCTAGCATCACAATTACCAATATCGATAAGTATGTAATATACTAAATACTATACTAAAAGCGATAGATATATAATTCTTTAAACTATGAATAAAAACGATACTTTATATATATATTTTCAGGAATATAATAAATTCTTCTCGAGTACGAGCGAATAAAATATTCTATATATAGTGTCAACATATTTAAAAGATTTAAAATCCAGTAAGTATAGAAATATAGAATAATGATGAACGAGTTAATCTTGCGGTCGATATTATGAGAAGATAAAGAAGAAAAATGCGCCCGTGTATGTAACCTATATATCTTTTTTTTTTTTTGTATTTTCCTTTTTAGAAAAAAATTACTGTTAACCGGCGAATTACTATTTATTACTACGATATCTTTTTTCTCTTTTTATTTTTTTTCTTTTTTGTTTTACTTTTTTTCTTCTATCGTCGTTTCGATGGTCATATTCTTTCGAACTTGTGCGAGTCGAAATGACCAGAAAAACGAACGGAATTCTCCCTCCGGATTCGACAATATTTTCGCGAAATAGATAACGATCGATACAAGCGACAATCGAAAATAGTTGCACGAAGAAGCCGCGTCTATATGAGTTTATAAAATTTCTGCAAGACAATAAAATCGCTGCCCCCGTGTATTTCGGTATAATCAAGGAAGACATTGTGATTGTTCGTTCATTAATATATATATGTATGTATATAATATATATTCCCCCCTTCCCACAAGTTCTCCCTTTTTTTTTCCACTTGTATTTGTATTCTTCTTCTCGTTTACGTATATTACACATCTTTTTTTTTTCTTTTTTTTTTCCTGTAATTTTTCTTCTTTCTTTAGTTTCTTTTTTTTTTTTTTCTTTCGTTTAATTATCCTATAGCAATTGACTTTTATTAAGGAATGATCTTGTGCATCGCGCAGAGTATACACAGTAACGTAGCTAGGGGCCATCCCCACGCGATATTTGGTGCTGAGGATTCGACCATCGACATAATTTTCACTGAAACAATGAATAAAAAGTAGGTCTGACGTTAGAAACGCGAGACTCGAAAATATGTGATATTTAAAGATTTATATTAATTGTGGAATTTAACATCGAACATGAAATAATGCAATTGAGATGATTTGTGGTGATTATTGCAGTGCAATAAAAAATATTATGATTTAAAATATTAAGAAATAAACTTAAAGTCTTTTTAATAATTTGCTATATTACATGATAGAAAAAATTCTAAAAATTAATTTCCTTTCAATGGATAATGTAAACATCTATCCCTGACATATTTTATAGGAAAAAATATAAATAATTTTTAAATACATTTTTTCAATATACCATTTTCATATTACAAATAAAAAAATTCATTATTTATAATTATTATTCTGAAAAATATTTTTAAATAAATAATTTATTGGAAAATAAACTAATAAAAATTTTTAAAAATCACTAGTATTCATCGTATAGTATTTTTGTCTATTTCCCTATTGCAGGTAGTAAGAGAGTAAGTCTTTTAATCTATTATAAATTATAAGATTAATTTATATTGCATTGATATTTTTAACATATTTTATAATATAATAATTAAAATAATTGCACGGAATGCTATATTATTATTATTATTATTATTATAAAATCAAATATAATAGAAATGAAAAAATATTCCTAAAGATTAGATGCAGCTAGATGGCATTGAAAAAGCCATAGATAACTTTCGCAATTGCTATTTCTAATTGGACGTTTTTTCCTATGATGCAATAAGGCTTCAAACGAGTTAATTAGAACGCCTACTTTTGAGGTTACGCATCTCATTCATTAGTATGCCTTACATGAACGATGGAAAAGGTATTTGAGATGAAAATCTCACGACTGTGAGATTAGAGTAGAGAAATGCTTTTTTAATGGAAAAAATAGCGAGAAATTGTTCGCGTGTACAATTCCCCTTCCCTCATTTGTAAATCGGCCCTAATACTTGCGTGTATTGATTCCTATCTAGAAAATATGAATTTCCATTTGAAAAGCAAATTTCATTTTTAAACCAAGCCAATTTTTATGAAACGTGTATGTGTAAAAAAAAAAAAAAGAAAATATTGCAAATAAATAAACCGTGTGCATACGGGCTGAATAGAATTCGAAAATCTGATTGGGAGGCACTAAAAATGAGTGTTCGGTAACCGATACACGGCGAAAAAATATGATTTATGAAATACAGTGTTTGCAGATATTTATGAGAGAGAAAAATTGTGTATGTAAAAATTGAATTTTGAAAATATATTATATAAGATGATCATATAAAGAGTTCGAAAAATTTATTTTTTAAAAACAATAAAATTTAATCACGTTTAATTACTGTAAAAAATATAGAAGAGTGCGTGTATAAATTTAATTTGAATCAAACGTTCCTAGAACAATTTTATCAAAATTAGATCTGTAAAATTAAATCAATTAACGGAAGTTGTAAAAATAAAATTTATGAAAGATAAATAGATACCTATTTGCAAATTGAATTTGTAATTTTAAATTGTTCTCACGAAGAAATGAAAAAAAAAAAATAGAGGATTGAAAAGAGAATAAAAAATTATTTTATAAAATCGAATAATTACCTGTGACCGATTCCTTCTTTATATCGGCATACTGCACTGCGTAATCTGGGATGGTCGAATGACAGCTTATTTCCAAATTACCGTTTTTTCCTGTATGCAACGCGGAAACTTCTATCACCAGCTTCGCAGTAGCAGACATCAGTTGGTTTTTGTGGTGTGTGTGAGGATAGTGATTTACCAGACTGATATCCACCTAATATAACAGGCAAAAACATTGTGGTGTTTGGTTACAATTTTTATAAAAAATTTCTCACATCGTGACATAAGAATTAGGTTAGTTTTAACGGATTAATGTTTTGCGGACGAATGTTGATGTTATAATAGCATTAAAAAAACAGGTGATATTATTCATAATAAAATTTTCACAAAATAATACATATTTTTTTTTATTTCTAATATTTAAATATTTAATTTATAACTTCATATAAGAAATATCCTTCATTTGCAGAGAATCAGAATCGAAACAAAATGTTAATATTAAAGAAAAATCAAAAACAATAGGAAAATTTTCTTGTATTATCGAACATAAATATATAAGTTGATGTCATAATTTTTTATTTAATCTCAAAGTTATCGTACTTGATAGCTAATTGTTTCTAATATCAATTCGATTCATTATAAGAATAGAAATGTAACAAAATGAAATCGAAAAAATGTGTGTAGACTATTATAATTAAATGAATGATGTTACAAGTGAAAAATGAATTCATCATGAATGAATCAAGATTTATTGGACACAAGTATGCCTGTTATCTTTGATATTTACTCACCTCCTTCCCGTTTATATACCAAGTCAAATGAGGAACTGGATGTGCAGCCGAGGAAGTGCAATTCGCTTCTAAACTTTCACCTACGATGTACGAGTTTTTCTTGAACGTAATTTTCGGGTTTTCAGTCTGTGGTACTGTACACAATTTGATAACAATACTAATTAGAATAGAATTATCCTTGAGAATTATAATAAAGAATAATTCAGTGATTATTATAATAATGTAATAGAAAAATATAAATCTAACTTAATCTAATAGTTCAATAATTATTGCAATAGAAGAATACAAATATAATTTAACCTAATTTAACTGTTTAGTTAATTATTGCAGTATAATAGAAAAATATGAACTTAATCTAACATAATCTGAAAATTAACCAAATATTTGATCTTCATTTGATTTTTTAACGAAACGAAGAGAAAACAAATTTCATATCTAACAATTATTCTCTGCAAATTATGCTTGCAAATATTCTCCCTCCCAATTGTTTTTAAGTGAACTGTGCATTCTGTATGCAATCATCAACGATTTATACTGATAAAAGTCATATAACAATTTTTATGCCTCGATAGCACATTATAATTGCTAAAGAAGTCGTGTCCTATCGCGATTATATTTCACGTATAGGTGAAACGATTGCATAATTAGCCGATCGATTGATGCAAAGATGAACCTCCCCTTCCAAGTGTTTGCATCTTTTATCTTTCGAGTTTTCTATTTAATATCTTATTAGTTAGAAATATTAATAGGCAAATATTTTTCGTTTAATTTTGTGATAAAATTCTTAAGCGTTAATTAAAAAACTGTAAAGGTATATAAAATACATAATACAATTATGTTCATTATAATTAAACTAGAAATTATGGAATTTTTTATATACATATATTACATTTTGTATAAATGAGAAAAATGTTAGGTTATGTGAAATAAATTTTTAATAAGGCTTTTAATGTTTTGTTTTTATAGTTTTGTCAAAATTAATATCAATTAAAGTTTGATTTAACAAATTCAATTCATGTACAGAAAATATAATAATAAAAATTCGCAATCTAATTATAGTGAAATAAAAATTGGAAAGATAGAATGGTACTCAACGAAGTCTACTTATGTCAACCTCATTTTATTACGCGTTTAACAAGCATAATAATATTTGCGTATAATTATGTTATTTATTTTTTTCGCTTTAGAATTCATGAATTCAAATATTTAAAGTATCCGAGTTTTAACAAATATAGAATTTACAATAATTTTTTTGCAATAATATAAAAATATCTATTAAATATTTTATAATAAAATATATTTTTTATCGTTATAATAAAGAAAATATAAAAATTTTATATAATATAAATTTTAATAATTTAATATGATCGTTTCATTACAAGACAAATTCATTTCATTTCATTTATTTTTTTATTCGTTAATCTTTTTATTTTATTTTATTTAATTTAATTTCAATATCGATTTAAATATGTACACACATTATATAAATTTTTTCATATTCTTTTTACTCAATGTGTTCTTATCTTTTACAAGATAAGAATTTTTTTAATTAGAAGTTCAAAAGTGCTTTTACGCGTTTCGTAACTTTTTCAATTTTTCAAAAACTTTCTGTCTTACTTGTTAAAATATAACTATATTGCAAAGAAACTTTTTTAATATGATATATATATATATATATATATATATATATATATTTCAAAATTCAACTTTTGCATTACATTTTCTTTTAGTATTTTTTGTAATTGTCAATGACAATTACTTGACAAAATTTCATCTTATTATATTTTTTATCTAAATTACATTATCATTTATCATAAAAAAAATCTAAAAATTCTGAAAGTTTATAATATTATAGAATATTATAGATTAAATGCATTTCTCAACATTTTAACTCTTTATATTCTACCCTAACCTAATCTAAATAAACTAATCCAATATACAATTTCAATATTCTAATTTTTTTACATTTAAATTAAGAATTAAGAATAACTGATAAAAAAAATATTCTTTTCAGTGAATCTTTTATTACATGATTTTTAAAAAAAAAAAAAATTCTATTCATTTTCAAACGAAACGTAATGAAATTATTGAGATTAAATATTTTCATTAAAGATAATTTTTATATTTTATACACTTTTATTTTACAATTTTATTAATCTTATATATATATATAAAATCTTTATCAGGAAGAAACTATTAAATAAATTGTTTTCATCTGTTTCCTGAACAGTTTTTGTATAAGACAAGTAATAAGTGAACAGAAAAAAACAAAAATTGGTTGGAGATGAATTAAAAGAAAATTATTTGGAAAATGGATTCAAATTGTATCTTTAAATTTTTCTTTCAACTTTAAAGAATATATAAGATTGAATTAATTTCACAATTTGCATATTGCACACTTGCCTGGAAAATTTATATTTATTGCATCATTAAAACAAAGAAAGCATAATATCTTTTACCAGTAGAATCCTGAGTAAGTAAGTGAATTTCCATTTTTAATATGATATTCTTACGTATTTTTTAAATCGTTTCAAAGTTATTTCATAGTAATTTTTTATTTATATCGCTTTTCAAGAAGATGTACACTATAATATTGACTTATGTATAAAATACAAGTGAAGGATATTGGAATTTTCTAAACTTCTGTATCTTCTTTAATAACTTACATCAAGTTTTAATTTGAATATGAAAAGTGTCCCAGTTTTTTGACGACAAATTGCCGTGGCGTATTCTTTACATTATAAAAATAAGAACAAAATTGTTGTGTAAAGTTCTATAACTTTATGTAACATTTTCCTTTGTCCTTGCATAAAAAGTATATATGAAATAGGTAATTTTCCAACATAGAATAAAAAAAGTCAACTGTCTTTGTCAACTGTCTTTATCTTGGTTATATATACACATACATCACATACCTTTTGTTTATCGTAATGAGTTTTATCGATCAATTAATATTCTTATTAATAATTATTTCTTAATTATACGAGTAAACTAATATTTTCAATGATTTAGTCGAAAATGTTATTATTACATACTCGATCATTTATATATCTACTAGCTTGTGATATATTCGTGGAACATGTTTGGAAGGTGAAATATTAAAATTTTAAAGATTATAATTAAAACGAATACAAAAGTTGATACAAACATAAAAGTTGATATGCAAAAATGTCAATTGAAACTTATTTATCAAATTATAAGCAATTTAAGCTCGCATTAGATGAAGGGAGACATAGGATATACAACAAAGATAGAGTTATATAGAGTATAGTATTCAATTGCATACAATTTAATAAATAAACCGACTTGTTCCATGAATATATCAACATTCTATATGTTGCATAATAAAAAATTGTTCACTATCCATTTCATGCATGTAATGTTTATTATCTTGACCTGGAATAGAATAGATTAGATTATTTGTCAAAGAAAAATAAATAATGAGATAATGCACGTCAACTAAGATGATATCTGCATGTCTATGACGTCGTTACGTGTAGGGAGGAAAAGGAAGGCAAATAATGTATAAAGTCAGATATTTTTGGATCCTTAACCTTTCAAGTTTCAGCATGTTATCTTTTGAGATCTGGAAAATTTCAATGATTTCAATAATTTGGAGAAAAAATAGAATAGATAAATTCTGCATAAATTCTCTGAGAAATTAATTCACAGCACAAAGTTAGTAAGTCACACTAAATTAATTGAATAAAAGTTTATTCCAACAAAGGAAATTTTTAACAATGCATTTAAATTCCAATTTATCGCAAAACTTTGTATTGCAATGCGTTTTTTTTCTATTTTGCAAAGAATAAATTTTCGTTCTGTAAAAAAATTAATAGAATATAAAATTTCTTATTATAATTTAAAATATAAAATTTTGCAATATAGAAAACGTTTTATATTACAGTGTATCGTTGTCACCACATCACGCTTAATAGAAACTATCAATACTGAAACATGTTAATAGAATCGTTCGACAGGTGTCTTCCAGTAAACGAGACTCAATCTATTCAGACAAAATATTAAGTTATCCTATAAGCAATAAAATCATTTTAAAAGAATAATTTTAGTAACTTACTTGATATTTCTAATAATAATTTTTATTATTATTTATAATTTTTTACAATTGAGACAAAATTCTTTAATTTCTTTTTAAACGAATTTTTTATCCTTCCAAGTAAAAAACTTGTGTCATTTAAACAATTTTGTAATAAAAATAATAAGATAATAATACAATGTATTAGGTTAAAAAAATATAAATAAATTTAATATATATTGAAGGTCAAATATTTTCATTCAACATAATTGAATAAAAATTATCAAAACATATTGTCTATTCAATTTTCACAATAAACTATAATTATAATGATTCAATTTTCGAAAATCTGCAATAAACGATTCTTCACAATTAAATTTTCAAGGCGATATTATCTACCGATGGTATGAGCAACTACTTACCATCATGAAATTTTTTCATATTAAATATAATATAGAAATACGACTTACCTATAACTTTCATTGGAACGCTTTCCGAGTGTTCGGTATAAATAGGAGTCGTCATCGTAACCAAACAGTGATACGAGCCGGACGCCTCGAAACGTAAGTTCTTTAATTTGATTGTCGTGCCATTTTCGAAATGCTGTAAAATAAACGTGGTGTATCGTTACCAACTGTCGATCGATTTTAACCGGTTATCTAAAGACCTCTTAAATAACACGCAACCACTGTTTTTTGCGCATACAAGTCGTTCAGAGCCCTTCACTATTGTGACCCGCGCCATTATTATTGCCTCTTGCGTGTCGAGAGCATGGTTGAAAGGGACGCTTGTATCGATCTCTTGAAAATAGATCAAACGACCGTTCCACTGATCGCATAGAGTACGCCATAGATATTACAAAAAAAGGAAAGAAAGAAAGAAACAAAGAAAGAAAGAAATGAAAACTAGGAGAAAGAAAGTTGTGAAAGAAGGAATTACTTTCCAAAGATAGAAATCTTATCTTACAGAATGTTCTAGAATTACAAGTGGATCGTGCGAGAGGTGATGAAAGAATTTTTTTTTTTTCTTTCTGATGTGTTTTTGATCTTGTAACTTTCGATGAGAAGTCTCGATCTCTTGATGTTCCATCATGTAATTCAATTCTTATGCTTTTGTTGCATCATTCATTTCGAAAAGATAGAAGATATGAAGAATTAATAAATTTCGAAGAATTATGAAGATTTTTTCATTTGGTGATAAACAATCGATTTTTCTTTTGTGATTATTTGATTAGTAAGTATAATATTGAAAATATTGAAAACAAAAAAGAATGCATTTTTTTTCTAGCTTAATTTTTTTACAGAATTGGAATGATATTTTTAAATATCATAATACATATTTGTGTTTCTGACACAAAGAGAAATGATAAAATAATGTAATAACATCAATGTATAATTTATAACATTTTTATAAAATGTTTGTAAAATGTTTGATAAATGAGATTACCATGAGGCTGAATAATTGATACATAAAATATCATATTACAAAAAAACGATAGAATTTTCTTCATTACTTTGCACAATATCATAACCAATTTCGTGTTAAATTCACAGTCTAAATTCGAAAATACAGTTTTGCGTGTTACAATTAGAACGAAACTTTTCAAACTTTTGCTTCAGAAATAAGTAAATACGAAAAATAGCAAGATCGTAAGATGAAAAAAAAAAAAATCTTTCACCCGTATTATATTCCCATTTTCTATTTCCGCTCGATTGAACTAGTTTTCGAGACACGTAATAAAAGAATATGTCACGAATCGAGGATATCGCGTTATTTTTATTAAAGTTGCATGTTTCGATGCGGCTGTATCGAGGCTTTGGTTAAGGAAGTCCGTTTCGATATTGTCTATTCTCGATATAACACAAGGCTACGTTAATACCGGTTGCAGTTTCAATTTCCTCCTGTAACGCCTTCGCGGTTTCGCCTCCTCTTGTCGTCGGTAGAAAAACCGATGTTTTATTTAATTCCAGGTCACGTGAACGCCTACGCGTGGAGAGGAGTGGGGGTGGGGGGAATTTTTGTTTTACACAGCAATACAGAGGGGAAAAAATATATGAAATAAGGTTTCTATAGAAACGGCCACGGAAAATGAAGTGACATAAGAGGGATAACGGTATGGTATAGAGTATAACAATGGAATATAATAAATGTAAATGTTCTCGTAAAAGATACTAACTAAACGATATTTTGCGCAATTCTCGTCGAATATCCTTCCAGATAAAAATAACGCGGGAAATTTGAATTTATCAGTTTCGTAATCTTTATTGAAAAATATAATTTTTGAAAATTTTTTGAATTGTTTCTCGACTTGCTATAAAATATTGAAAAAAGTATGTGTGTTATAATTATTTTCGATAAAATGATAAAATAATCGATGAATTTTAGTTTTTATCGAATTTTTTATCAAATTCTCTTCTTTGAATAACTTTTCAGAAAATGATGTAACGCGGGAGATTTGAATTTATCAGTTTCGTAATTTTTATTAAAAAATATAATTTTTGAAAAATTTTGAACTGTTTCTTATTGCATCAAAATATGTAGAAAAAATGGGTATATTTTCTATAAAATGAATAATTGATCACAATTGAAAAATAAATTATCGCTAAAGAAAGAAAATTCATTGGAAAAGATATGTCTCTAAATAATATTTTCATTCAATATTTTTTCGTAATAATAATCACAAAGTTTTTATTTGAAAAAAGCAACAAGACCAACACTTTCATTAAGTGCATTTTCACGATCCGTTATCTTCCGTAACGTAATTGCAGTCAGTTTATTAAAAAAAAGTGCAACAAGCCACTCCATACACATTCTTTACGAAAGAAAAAAAAAAAAAACAATTATTCCAATCGCATCTCTCTCATCGAATCTTTATCACGTCTCAATTCAATTTAAATCTTTACTTTTCGTTTTCTCGTTAAAATGCGTAGCATTAAAGAAAGAAGAAAAAAAACAGGAAGAATGGCAATGAATGTAATCGACGAAGGATTGTTGCAGAACCATGGAAATCAATCAAGTATTAAACAATTCTTATTGAATATTAAATAATACCATAACGATCATTGAACGAGTGTACTATCGGGATTTTTTTTTCTTCTTTTTTCCGTTTGTTCATCCTTGCTAAAGTTAGCCACGATTCTCGACTGGATGTGTATCATGGGCTGCGAATAGGATAAACGCGTTTAGACGGCCGTATAAAGAGTATGCGTCACTTTTTTCTGGGTTACACTCGACGTTTCGGGAACAATGCGGCTCGTAAAGCAAGGTGAATCGTTTGCACAATGCACGAATACGCGGCAAACTTTAACACAGTACGAGAAACTGCTATATATAATTGATGATATCATCCGTTTCCTCTGTACCGAATTTTATTCTTTGGTATTACGTCGTGGAATTTGGTTACATTTTTTTTTTAAAGATATTTTGATTTTATAAATTTGATAATTTTTTTGGAGAGGAATAATTATTTACGAAAGCATTCTTCTCATCGATTTCTATGATCTTGTGAACTATGTTAGATTAAGTTTTTTCGAATTAGGTTAGGTTATAAGCAAAAATATATTCGATACTGTATATAATATTTTTCTGTTTGTGATAACATTTATATAAAATTAAAAATACGTTAAATTAAGTTAGGTTAATTAATTGAGTTGTAAAGATATGTTTAATGATATTCTTATCATGATATTTTTAATATGTGTGACACAATTGTTGAAATTAGATTTATGTTAGGTTAAATTAAATTAGCTTTTAGGTCGAGTTATAAGTAAAATATATTAAATGAACTATATATGATATTTTTTAATTTTTTATATTACTATTGTATAAAATTAGATTACATTAAGTTTAATAATATTAATCTAAACAATAATACAGATCGTCACATGAAATTTGCACAAAATTTTCATCAGAAAGATTGATTCTTATTTATAGATACTGTAAACAAAATATAGTCAGATTTTGATTAGTTCATTATCCAGCCGTCGTAAGGCGTTGGCATTCGACACTGAACATACAATGTTACAATTACATATATAATTCTTAAGCAAAATTCATTGTAGAACTATCGTATAGTAATTTTTTGTGAATATTTCGTAAAAATATTTCAAAATGTTCAAACTTAAGAGTATATTTCAAGATGATTAAAATTAGAGAGAAAAACTTTATTATAATTATCGATAATTTAATATAAAATTTTTTTTAAACATTGAAATTTACAGTAAACTTTCTCTTTTAAATTATGAAGCAATTTATTGATAATTCTTTAATTGAATTTTAAATTAAAATTGGATATCAAAATAAGTCGTAAATCTTATATTACTCGATTTTTTTATTTGAGTTTAATGATTCTTATTAATTTGAAAGATAAGATTCGACAAGTTATTTTTAAAAGTAATTTCAACATTGCTACACTTCCTACACAAAAATTAAAAAACAAATCTATGGTTTACAAATTTTCTTATGTTTTATCATTTTATCCGAGATGAATAGGTTAAGAATTATATCATAAAAAAATAACAATATATTTGCACAAATACCGAGTAAAAAATAAAAGAAACAAAGAAATTTACAAATGTTTTAAATAAAATGTTAAATTTACGTGTTTCTTAACTTTTGTTATTTTTTGATTATTCTCGAATTATAAAATAAATACACGATTAATAACCTCAAATAAAGAATAAGCGTAACGACTAATCGAACAACATTTCAATTTCAATATTTAATGAAATTACGTAAGATATGATCAAATGTAAATAATCATATATCTCAGGGGATCTATTATAATGGAACATTTATTCAAATATTGTAAATTTCATTATTATCCATTTTCTATAATCACGTTCACACCGTGTACAAATTGTGTAATTTTGTATATTAATACACGACTCTGCCAATATTAATTTTATCACACGTAATCCATTTAGAAAATTTGTAGGTATAGAAAATTTACATATCCGTATCGTAAAAGGCGAAAAAATATCAATTTTCTCTTTTTTTTATTAAATTCTCTTTAACACGCATGAGAAACACGAATATTCAATGTAACCAGACATCTAAATATATTTATTTTGTCCTATTATCTATTTTGCCAATCAAAATAGATTATTATCGATTTTCAATTTAAAATCGATCATTATTTTTCTATTCGATCACTCTTTCTTTCCTTCCTAGTGAATTTTCCTTTTCCTAGTGAATTTCTAATGAAAATTCTTTCTCTTTTTTTTTAATTTATTTAGTTCGTTAGTTAGTTTATTATTTAATTAATGGAAAAATGATTAAAACACTTAAAATGTTAAAAAATAATACATCAAGGAGTGAAAAAAAAGAAAAACTTTTTATAAAAGCAAATCGAACTCGAGTCGAATTTACAAAGTATCCCAAAAAATGTTGAAATATTTCTAAACTGAAGATTCCTGAATTTTTTAAAGGAAAATTTTCTAATGTATAAACTTTGTTAAGGATTTATTTTTATTTTCTTCGAGATACGTTACTTGGATTTGTTCGCGCTCGGTCACCGCACATAGCCATTGCTACCGTCGCGGCTCGACTAGTCTACACGCTCCGTGATTGACCAACGTTTTTCGTTAATAACTCGTTAACAA